AATATTCATTTATATTTTATCTTCGAAGAGTGCAAGGAATTTTTCTTGGATTAATCTACTTGTACATTGGGGTTGACATAAAGGATGACATAATGTGAGTGGAGGTGGGATCCACGATACTGTAGCATGGGACCCACCCCACTCACATTATGTTATCCGTTATGTCACCCCCAATGTACCCCTAGCATTTCCCATTTTTCTTACTGGTGGGGTTCAAGGAGGGGTAGTTTCAAAACACTATTCATGTGAAGTATAAAAAAGGTGTTTCTAAATTTATAGAATTAAGCTGGAAGTATGGGGCCCTGCTTTACAGGGCCCTGTTAGGTGACTCACATGAGATGGGTCCTGTGTAGGATTCACTTCATTAAAAAATGGCCAAAAATTGTCGACCCGCTCCCCCATGTTTCTCACCTGACAGGGTTTGTGAAGCAGGGCCCTGTACTTAAAGTAGGTCTCAAATTTATATGCATGACTTGAAATCACTCACGCCCACATGCTTATCTTTACAAGAAAGCCAGGCTACTAATTGGCCTATTCCCTATGCTTTTTGGTGGGGTAAATATAGACATTATGGATTCATTGTGGACAAACCAACACCGTTGAATCAACAATCCCATGATCAAAAATCCACGTTTTGCGGTTCTGATCTGGACAATTGTCGGCCTCTGGTGCCATCATATCTCACCTATGATATGAATGGACGTACCATAAGTCATGTCCTACCTTTTTTTTATATTCTTTGAGTTTCTAATACTTGTGGAATACTTTAAAGGCATTCTTCGAACAAGTGTTCGACATAACATATGCACTATCTTAAAAAGAATAAAAATGTGTCCCCAATATGTTTGTCTTATTTTTTAGAACAATCACACATGGACATGGAGATATGTGATTATTCTAAAAAATAAGACAAACATATTGGGGACGCATATTTTTATACTTATATATATATATATATATATTTCATCGATTAGATCAAAATAAATTTAAAAAAAATTAGGAAATAGCATAATAATAACATAACTACTTTTGTTTGGAATAATAGTTAAAAGTAAGTTTTATTTT